AATTCCAGATGCACATCTCGAGAATTGGGGCAGATAAACAGACAACCATATCGCTTTTCGACGGAACGTCCCCGTTTAACGAACATCGGACCGAAATAATCAACTCTTGAAATCTTGAAGGGGTCGCAAGATTGTACAGTCCGATCTAGGGGGATCGGAGCTATAGCCTGTTGGTAGGGTTGAGAAAACAATCTCCGGCACTTGAGACAACTTTTCAACGAAGACTTTATCGTTTTGTTGGCCCGCATTATCCAGTATCGCGTCCTTATTGTAGATAGAATATAGCTTTGTCCCATACGATCGTTCAGATCGTGATATTGTTGGATTATTAGATGTGTCTCAAAGTGTTGGGACGGCCGAATGACAAATTTTTTAGTCTCGAGCGGTAGACAACTGCTCGGTAGTCGTCCCCCGACGCGTAACACTGCATCCACGACGACTAGTGTAAGGCATCTCAACGAACTAGACACTTTGCGAAGAGATTTCCTTTTGGCACCGCACCGTCTAAGCGCATAATTAAAGGTATTGTTGTTCCCTATGAGCTTCATCTCATAGAGAAACGTTTCTAATTGCACCATCCTTACAATTTCTGAAGACGCGTTCCTCATCTCTGCTAATGCCAGTATGCTCTTTGTGGTTGCGTAGGATTCCTCAAATATATTTTATAACGCTTCTTTGAAGTTTGTTCTTCGAGGCTAAATGACTATAGCAAGCAATCATTGCGGCAGTTTTCCGAAGTAAGCACACACGTCCTGAGTCGGAACCGATGTTTGTCATTACGCAAGCATGTTCTATGACCCGGAGTGATTGTATGTTAGTATCACCGGATTTTCAGGACAATACCTCTGATGTTCTAGCTTATTTTTTTCGTTCGCGATGACACCACGGGATAGCAGGTGGGCGGGATTCCGGCGGGATTCGATGTATAGCCATTCGTCTGGGCTAAAGAGATAGTCTATAAGCGACAAGCGATTGAGTTGGAAGGTGGGAAAAGGTTTCGAAGTGTTGCGAATGCTTCGGAGCACCACTAGATAGTCTGTGTAGCAGAAAGTTGTTGCAATCTTCACGCTCATTTCTGTGCGGATCAACCTGGCTATCTTAACGGCTACCAAAGCTGCCATTAAATCCAGGCGCGGTGTACTAGTCACGCGAATAGGGGCGATTCTGACCTAAGACAATATTAATCGAGATAGCGTTGTTTCGCTTTTGCCCCCGCGACCATGTAGGCGACTGCGCCATAAGCGGTTTCCGAGGCGTCACTAAAGACAGGGAGTTGAAAATCATAGTTTGGTTTCGCCTCCTCTGGTCTGATGCATAGAGGTACGGTGAAGTGTTCGAGGCTAGGCATTGCATTTAATCACTTTCTCCATAATGTCCACTCTCCACCGCACATCTCTTCCTCCCAAACTACTTTGCGCTTGCATAAATTTTTAGGACATTTTTTACGAGTATCCTCACTTGGGTAATGTATCCCATCGGATCAAAGAAAAACAAAACATATGGAAGTATGGTTCTTCGCCCTGATGTATTGCATTTGCAGCGGCTTCAGCCCATTTGGATCTTAAATAGGAGGGAAGTCGTCTCACAATCGGCTCCAGAGTTCTGCTGGAATTGAGATCGCATGCATAGTTTAGTTGGTTTAAGGTTGCCACGCAAACTTGCACTTGTTGGCTGAGGTGAACCAACGCTGCGGTGTCGTTGCCTTTTATTTGAGGTCCATCGATTAAGCTTCATTAAAGGCTCGGGATACTATATAATTTTGGCCGAATCATTTTCTCAAAATATCTTTGGCTTTTTTAAAACCTTCGTCGGCATCTGATATCACACAATGTTGTATAGCCTCCTTCGCTTTCCACTCACAGTACTGTATCATGTAAGTGAGGCTTGTGATGCTGTCATTAGTTCTCTTTTCAATTACAGAATGGAACTCTTTCACGAAAGCACAATAAAATTTAGGGTTCCCGTCGAACTTCTGAATTTCACGTTCTGGCAGCTCTAGATGATAGTCAGTGATGCGAACTGGAGGTTCGACATTATCATCCGAACTACCATCTCTCTGTTGAGCGATCGCACAAATCTCGTTATCTTTATTCAATTCTTGACCTTCCATTTTCATAAGCTGTAATTTTTCCAACTCAATGCGTGTTTCGATTTCTAGTAGACGCAGTTTGCTGAGGTCTTTTTCAAGTCGCGGCCGTTCTAAATCTCTTTGATTTTAGGTGATTGGTGATGCAGGTCGTGAGTGCAGCGACAGATCCGGAGGGCTGTTATCTGCGATTTACTCGGGCATGACTCGAATAACTTTGTTAGGATACTTTAGATATCCGATTCAGTGCTGGTTCATTCACCGGAATAGATGCAGCCGAGGTCAAAGCTATGTCAGAAGACAGTCATGATTACTCGGTTATTTTTTGTGGTTCTATAGCAGTAAACAGTAAGATTGGCGGAGCACGATATAGTTAATAAAGCGAGGAATGAATTGAAAAGTGGACATACGTTCGAGTTGATTAGATGAGTAGTCAGCGATTGACGCCAAAGTGTGGTGGTCGGTTTAAAAGCGAGCGGGACAAAGAGCAATAGACAACGAACAAACAACAATGAACGAAGAATGACGAGAACCGACGAATAGGGGTACATAAACAAAAGCAGAGTGGTATGGGCAAAGTCTGCTTACTAACAAACGGTTAGAAGCAAAAACGGAAAAGAATGGAAATTCACATCAGGGATGGCACATCTTCTAAACAAAATGGTTTTCTGCGTCTTAAACCAACTCTTAAACCAACTGAAAAAATAACACCATAAGTATGATATACTTCTCACCCAACTTTCGATCCCGACATTCCACGAGTTGGGACACATACTGTGGTAATAGACAGACCCCTTGTAATTAGTCTCACTTTTTGACTCTTCTTCCCATCTCTCATAGCACAAAAGCGCCTCATTAAACAAAGTTGCCTCTGGAAGCCCATCACGGGGCCGATCTCCGAAGCAGTCATAAAAGTGTGCCCAGCTTTCTCGCCTACAGTGGTGTAATCGACGCATGTGGCGGTTAAGCTCCGTGCAATTTAATTATGGTGAGATGAAATGAGAGGCACTTCAATGTTCTGCACCTTCATGCATCCTTCTGTAATTGAATTTGCGATGGTCTGAGGCAATATCTCCAGGGAAACTCACTCAGTGCTGAGAATCACTAGAGAACTGTTAAATTATATTATGCGTCTCCTGAATAGACGATGTCGTTTTCAGCAGGAATCACGCAGCTCCACTGACCTGGCTTCATGTGCAGCCACGTCGCAGCCCGCAACGGCACACCAGGGTGGAGCATGTCATGTGTGCCAGAGCTTGCGTTGCTGCGCATGTACTTTTCTCACTCCCTAGATGACGCCCAGATCGAGATCGAATGACAGGGGCGTGATTTGAGCAGGTAAGCCGTAGGCTCACATCTTCTAGGCTCTCAGTCGCACAAAGCCATCTTTGTTCGCAAATAGAGATTACGAGCTTTGTGGCGTGATCGTGTAAATGGTGAAACATGCGGAGACATCCACAAAAGTCACTGATAACAGGTTGAAGACGCTACAGTAATATTTTGCCAACGAAAATGCTAGTGTGTCTGCAGACTGTTTGTGCAGCTCAAGATGATGCGTGTTATCAAAATAATCCTGGTTTTATTGTTAGAGTAGGCTTCTTAATCTCCAAATTTTGATTGATTACCACTGCTACTACTACTAATACGACCACTAATACTACTGCTCCCATTACTTCTTCATCTGCCACTACTATTATTATTATTACTACTACTTCTACTACTATCACTGCTACTGCTATCACAGTATCTGAAAGGTCATGAGATATTACACGAATTTCCTTATAGTGTTAATTCCGCCCAAACTGCGTACGCAGTCTTACAGCAGTGTAAGTACGACCTTTCTTAATAAGATGCGTAGTTAAGTTTTTCAAATTAACATTCACTAGCATAATATTAATTAATTGTCGCTGAAAACCAAAATTTTAGAAAATGGCTATATTGTTAGTCGTTTATAACGGGCTAACTATGAGGGTGCATAAGGCAACAATTAAAATTAATAGAAATTTCAAAATTCCAGTATTTTGTTGATCGTTGTTTTGCATGGAACGCAGCAGAATGCCTTTCAGACACAGAGCTGGCCAGGCTGCCTATAGCGGAATGTTGATTGTGATTATCTAGCCAAAATCAATCTTTTCTCGCATTGGGATTTTCTCATTTGCATTGTGGCGATTTTTTTGACAATTTCGCAGAGTTTTTCAATAGTAGTTTGTTCCGGACTGTTGGCAGGATAAAAATCTACCAAAGGTTGTCAAGCCAAAGTTGAGAGCCAATTGGTCTGGATCACAGGAGATATATCGCGAAACGGTAAGATGTTGTGAACTTCTGAAGATAGTACGTCTGATATAGCATGTTTCTAATTTATCTGGTCTTTGTAACAAACGCTGAAAGGGTCTTATTGCTAATTAGCCAGATCTGAGCGAATACACCTCAGTCTGCCAGGGATATCTGCCTGCGCTATTCGTCTGCATGAACAGGTGATCGTCACAAACTAACGACAGTAGTGCACACCGAAGATCAACCTCACATAACTGCCAGCGAGTCTGCAGACTGTCTATACACACTGAACCGAAAACTAATGCCTACTCCCGCCCCCACGATTTCCTCGTTGTTGGCAGGGCACACGTCAGCCTGGTTGGTATTCCATATTTGGCAGCGCCACGTCCTAGCCAGCTATGACTTGACCAATGGAGAGGTCGGCTCTACCTTTTTCGTATTAATTCACCCCCTTTCTGTGCCAACTATCAACCAATGAAATCCGCTCTGTGCTACCCTCGGCCAATCAGATCCTGAAGGTCGTCAGTGCGTGCGGGCGTGCGTAGAATGTCAGGGGAGAAATAAAAGGGCAGCCCTCACGGCCCTGAAGGCATTCCGTCGATCTCGCCCTGGTTAATACACCAAATGGCGCTCCCACGAGCAGAAGTGTTCGAAGACGAATTTCCCCTGATCCGAAGCTGTCCAGCCTTGAACGAAATCCGCCTTGCGCAGGAAATTAAGGACTTGACGATAGAGGTAGCCTCCCTTACCGCGAATATTCATGTTTGCTTGCGTGTTAGGTCATGGACGGGGCAGAGCTTCACGCCAATCGTATTATATTGGCGGCTCGCATTCCGTCCTTGCGAGCCACTCTCAGTGGCCCCCTCGGGGAGGCGAATTCCGTTCTACGATGGCCGACCATGCCATTGAGGTAATTTTGTCGTCGATTTGGTGATTTTGCTTACTGCTTCTGCGCCTTCTAGCCTCGCAGCTACGTTCTTGCAGTACGTCTACACGGGCCGAGTGGAGATGAGAGAAGACAATGCGAGAGGCCTGGTGATGCTTGCAAGAATGCTCGAGTTGCCTCACCTGGTGGACTGGGGAGTGGCGTTCATGGCCAGAGGGTGCGCGCATTTCCTGTCTAACTGTCTGTTCTGCAGGCTCACTTTAGAAAACCTGTCTGCCGTCTGGGACTGTGCGAGGTCGCTGAACGTTGAAGCACTGGCGCAAAAGTGCATCGGACTGATGAGAGCGCAGTTTGAAGACTTGGTGCCAACCGACCTCTTTGTTCGTCTTCCTGCCGAAACTCTGCTCACCGTGCTTCAAAGTGATGATTTGCCTGTGTCGTCTGAAGAGCAGGTTATCGCGGCCATCTCACGGTGGGTGGATGCAGGTGCGTGCCTGGCGGATGATGACAAAAGGCTTCAAGTTTACGCTCCAGCAATGCTAAAGGAAGTGCAGTGGCACCAGACGGCCGTAAAATGTCGCAATCGTCTGCTGGAGAGTCATCCGACATTTGGCAAGAGTAATGAATGTCTGTAAGTACATGACATTGCAGCCCTGTTATTTTTTCCTCTGAAAGTCGGCTTCTGTTTCAGATCTCGAATTGGGTTGGCGCCGCAGACAAGGAGGAGCGGCCCTGTCCCTTCAACATTAGGCCTCGTGTTCGTCAGACCTTCGTTGCAGCAGACAGAGATCCGACGATCTTCCTCTTTGGGAAGGACAGTCAGCGAAGGTGGTCTGTCCTGCGTTGGAATCCGCATCTGCAGCAGGCAGAACGCGTTGCTGACATGGAAGCTGGCCGGGGGGACGCCTCCTACAGTGCGGTGGGTGGTGAGTTGCCGGACAGTTGTTTGACTGAAGTCTCCTGCCTCTGGGTGCAGGCCTGTCAGCACATTTTGCGCCACGGGGTGCATTTAGTGCTCGTTGCTTTTTGCTTCTTAAAGAATGCAAGCCCTTTTTAAGCTGGCTACTTTATGCATTCCTCTCTTTTTTTCCGCCACCACCACCAAACAAAAGAGAGCATTTTCGTTGTTGGAGGAGGGCGGCGTGTTGATGAGTTTCTGGTGAGAGAAGGGCGCTGGCGCGAGCGGGCGCCCCTCGCCGTTGGACGCCGGGGGCACGCAGCCGCCGTCGTGAAGGTTCCCACCGCTGCCGCCGACGGAGAGGAGACGCTGATTGGCGTTTTCGGTGGAGCCTTGGATGGGATTATCGTGGTGCCTATTTCCTCCTGTGAGGTCTATGACGTCAGGCAGGACAGGTGAGTGTAGACACGCATTTATTAATTTTTCTTCGCCAAAAAGAAAGATTTCTCTCCTCTTCTCCTCACTCGCCTGTTTGACCGAACAGATGGCACAAACTACCCAATCTGCCGGAGGCGAGGTACTGCCCGGCTGCTGCCTGTCTGCCCGGCGACAGTCGGGTCTTCCTTTTTGGCGACTACCGGCTTGCCTCTGTGGTCTTCTGCCATCTGCGAGCAGACTGGCGTCGGCGGCAGGAGACGACCTCAACGGACTTTTGGCAGTCGGCTGCCCCCATGAGAACTGCGCGATACGGGCACGCAGCGACGGCCTTTCGGGGAGCAATTCTGGTCGCCGGTGGAGAGGATGGAGTAGGCCGACCTCTCAACACTGTGGAGATGTTTACGCCGCCAGACGCCAGCAGCCCCCTCGGCCAGTGGACAGAACTGGCCCACATGCAGAGGCGTCGCAGCTGGTTCACTCTTCTCACCTCCACCAACACCGTCTTCGCTCTCGGCAACGGTAATGCAACACACCATTAAATGCATTCCTTCTCCTTTTTTCTTTTGAATGCGCACTCTGCACCAGCACTGTGTGTTTGTGTGTGCCTTGAGGCTGAATGGAGCGACCTCACTTGCGGTGCTATTATTACGGTGGCCGGGTAATTTACCTTTAAATGGAGTTTTTTTCTGTCTAGTAAACATTTTTGAATGCATGAAAATTCATCATGTCTGTCCACAGTGTTTTTTAAAATCTCGGCTATAAAATGACTCTACTGTAAGCCAGTAAAATAGGTTGCCTTTGTCAGGAATTATAAGAAAGAAGCCATAGAATATCAAACAACTTAAGCAACGCTGGCAAAAACTTATTCGTCTTCCTTAGGTAGAGGACTGAAGACGGGGAAATAATTTTTACACAATTCACAATTAAAAGCATTCTTTCTCTCTTTAATGCCATGCATTGGCTCAGCATGCGACACCCACGTTACTCTGACATGTGTTTTTCCCTGAATGGCCACTCTGCAGCACTTCTGTGAATACCGCCTACGCCTCTTTGTTTCCCTCTTTCTCTGTCTTAGAATTTTCTTTTTCGTAACCGACCTTCATTAAAATATTTTTTAATTTGTAGGCCTTCTACGCAGCAACACGGTAGAGGCCTTCGCTGCCCCGGGAGGTTCAGCCGACCCCGACAACGACTTGACCGCTTGGGTCTGGTCGTCCAAGAACCCAGTGGAATCGCTTAGTTGGATTCACGGAGCAGCAAGCATTCACATGTAAACATCAGCCACTTTCCTGATAATTTTTAAAAGAAATAAACGACTTGCAAGTAAATCCGCGTTGCAGTTCTTACTTTAAAAGATGTGCGGTGCTCACACGAGGGTCGACCATTTTAGTACGAGATTTGTTTTCCCGGTGAATGAAATGACTTCTTACGACACTGTGGACTGCGCGGGGTAGTTGCTATTCGGCAGGCATTTATTCATCCGTCGATGTAATGCGCGGCTTTGGTGAAGTCACAAATCCATCGGTGCGGGGTTTAGTACAAACGCCAAGTTATAGGAAATACTCGTACTTTCCGAATTAGAAGCATGTAGGGAAGCCGATTTTCTTGGACACAGAGATCTTCACCAAGTGGTTTCAAGTATGAAAACTGGATTGCCAGTACGAGGAAAATGTTCGTCAAAGGTGTCGGATATTTGCAGCACCCGAAAACTCAGACAGGAGCAGTTTGAGGCTGGGGATAGAGATGAGTACGTAGTTTGTATTTGCTAAGTGATCGCATTGGCCGTAAAAGCGTCATCAATTCCTAAGCATGCTCGAACTCACCCGGAATTGCCTACCAAAGCCCGACAGTAAACGACACACAGACCTACGTAAAAAGGGGCGCAAGTGAGTTAGTTGCTGGTGATTTGTACTTTTAAAGCAAGTCGTCGTGGGTGTTACAGATTTGATATTTCACCAGAAAAATGTCCCCGCAAGTGTAACTGGACAAGGGAAGACTTGTAGCTTCCAACTCTCACGATCGTCAACACAACCGTTTGCCCTCATCGTTTTCGGTACGCACGCCACGAGTGACTCCGCCTTCGGCTTGCGACACCGTGATGTCCATCGATGTTTTCTCTTTACCGATTAGCCGCAGATGGACGAATTTAGGGAGAATGAGATTCGACTGATATTTGCGCGTTGATAATGCTAGCTGTAACTACCTGCGATGCTGCCTGTACACTTGATGAGTCAGTGGTCGTCTTCACCCTGATGTTGCATGTTTCCAAGAGAGTTTGACGCGGGGCAACCAAAGTCGTCTACCAACGGCCTATCATTTACTTTTTGCATGACTTCATAAAAATGTCTGTTGGACACACTTCTCGATATTGTGAGAAGGACTAACCTACTTGGTGCACTCGTCCCCCAAGAAGAGAGCGACATTCAGCTGTTAATTCGAAATAGTCTTGCGAACTGGAGTGTATTTGACGACACAGTAATCTTTTAAACATTATGCCATTCGTCCGCGCGGTGCTATCCAACTGAATGGGAAGAGGGATTTAGCTCTCTTAGATAGGAGCGCTATTTTTGAAACATAGCGTGACAATCCGTAATCACATTTGTTCTCAGGAGTGGCTGCAAAAATTCGCATGGGCTGGCAGGGGGAGGATGCCGAACCGCACTGCTAATTTGTGAGACAGTGTTTCACAATAATACTGATAGGCAGAAACCACAACAGAACTGCTAAATAGGCAATTTACTAAGCATGTCACAGCCGAATTGAACCTTTTTCCTCGTCACTGCAAAATACGCCAACATCAACACCAGGTAATAATTGACTTGACAGAGCTAGAAAAAAATGCTGCCACATGCTTCCTTCATCTTATCCGTTATCGGCTGTTGCCAACTCTGCTGATTACCTCTACGGGGAAATTGTTTAGCACAGACTTCAAGGAATATCCAGATTCAAACAAATGATATCAGAGGGTATTTTGGGAAACAGACGTTCAAATATTACCAGGTTAGTCAGTGGGTTGCAGCCCAAGCTATGATTAGCCAGATGGCACTAACTGCGTATGAAGCTTCACGACCGCATATGCCGCCTGAGCATACCTGACGCACATGCCTGTGGCGTAGAGGCCCGCACACCTGGCGAGGTAAAATCGATCGATCACTTGCTTAACGCGCCGCGAAACATCGATCGCAATACCTGCGTGATTAATGCGATAAGATCCGCACCTGGACTGCCTTGAGAGAATGACGTCAAACTGAGCCGATTGCGGCGGCGTGCACTCTCGATGCGCACTCCGAATCTAAACAATTTCATGCATTCTTGCACACCGTGACTCTTAATTAAAAAAGCTGGTTAGGAATCACGTACAAGGCCTATGCCAGCCAGCTCGGCAAGACAGTGGAACAAGTGGCTATGTAGTAAACATTAGGGAGACGAAGTTTAGATTTGAGTTTAGGGTTAAGCTTGGGTTTACCGATAAACGTCAAGCTGCGTCTCAGATTATGACCGGGTAATAATTGCCGATTCTCAACTTTAGGTCTTGAGCATATAGATGATTCCGACCTAATGTTGTGAAAAATATGTCTAGAGAAATAGGAATCGATACCTTTGGAGACGACAAACATACGGGAGCGGACGAGATGACGCGGTACATAATCTTGTATCAGGCATGCTGCTTTAATAAGAAAAAGATTGCAATTGGCAGTTATTGCAGTAAGAGAGAGATATTTGTCTCAGGCGTTCCATAACAAATCTTGAACTTCGATTACTGACCTTGGCTGGTTTCACGCATTTACAAAATAAGTTATTAGATTGTAGAATGAAACTTATGACTAAAAGTTGTAAAAATCCCCATAATTATGTTCAGAAGAGACAGTGGCGAGTGAACGCTCCTTTCGGGAACTTCTCATCTGGCCAATGCAGTTACACGACTAAAACACATCTTCTCCTTCGAGATGAAGTTATTTTTTGCAATTTTTCCATTTACGGGAAGTTAAGTATACCTGTTCATTCTAAGTATGTTTGCAGAGATTTAACGTTACGAAATTATATCCGGCATGAGAAAACGAATAAAATTTGTGTTCTCACACAGTTCATCTATCTACTTAGCTTGCCATAGTTCCTTAACGGAATGCCACTGAGATTCTGTCGTAAAACTTGCTACTTACTTTGCGTTTCCAGGGATTATTATTGAATAACTAACTCTTTTGCCCCTCCGTTCTTATTTGCCATGGTAATTTGGTCGTTATTTGTTCGTGAACATCAGCGCCGAGTATATGAACATTCCTCAACTTGTACGCCACGTGAAGCCTTCTATCTTTTTATCAGTAGGAGTCCAATTCGATCCGCAGGTGGTCTGTACTAAGCCTGCATTCCTAAGTCATTGTGATGACACGCGAGCTTATTTCATACGCGCAAATGTTTGTGGATTTTCGCCCCGATATTTCCCTCGTAGACTTTAAATGTAATTCTATCGGTCTAAGTTTTATAAATCGGAGATATGACTTCACCGTAGAGAGAGGATATAAGTTGAGGTAGACCTACCTGAAAGTAGAAAAGAGACGGCGTTTAGAGGCAGTGAAAATTTTGGAGAAAGGATGATAGAAACTTGTTTAATAGCAGTTATTGACCTATACCAGGCAATCTGCTTCAAAACGACGACAGTCGTAAGAAGAATTGATTAGAAACAGATGCACATACCAGACTCCGGCCTTTTTTTCCATAAAAATGCAAGAATAACTCATGAGCACTTTGAGCAGTGCGATGCAGGAATATATTTTGGTAAAGAAGCAGGCCGTGTCTGTGCCTCTTAAATGTATGATTAAGCTAATGGAGCGAAAAGATTATAGTGCTCAAACATCTTAAGTTCAGAATCATTCAGTCCTATATGCTCGGACGAACTACGAACAGATGCAGAAGACGTGGATGCTATTATAATTCACGGTCGTCGGATAGCGCATCAATTTGTTATTATCCCTGTTCACCAATGAAACCAACACCCCAAAGGAATATTTGTATTCCTCCAGTGGTCGAGACATTGTTCTCATATCTAAATAACACTATTCCGACAAGTTTAATTTTAAAAATTAAGTCCTCTTTAGCTATCATATTTATTTTTTACCGTACTTGCGCATTTCGTGATTGTAGCAGCACTTTTTTTCATGGAAAACGCATTTTCATGCAGTAACTGTGAATCTGGGTTTTTCACAGTAGCAGGCCGATTTACTTTAATTTGCAATTATGCAATGCGGTTTTGGAATAACATCAATGCCAATCAGACGTAGTGAAAATAAGAAAACGAAAAAGCTACGTAAGTCTTCCATCGACAACGAACGCAACAAAATCCAAGATGTCAAGCCGACCTCGAAATCAGCTCAATGTTCAGTCATGTTTTGTGGTTTCGTTTTCTGTCCTAAAAAATATTGAAAACTTTCCCGGAAAATCCCTTTGTATAATTAGAGACAAAGTACTTATGCATAGGAATAAGTGATATTCATAATTACATACTAATTCTGACATTAAAGCCCTTATGTGTAAAAAAGCTTAAACACTTATTTCAGTTTAAATCGCACGGTGGTATTTGAATCTGTTTTCCCGCATCGAGGTCCACAATGATATTGAGCCGATCTGAAAACATGTCATGACAACAGAGCACAAGTTACCAAGAACGATGCCAACGACCGCGTGGGTCAACTGGAGACTTCAGTGCTCGAGACTGCTTCTTCACAACGAACTCCTCTCCAGGGTCCAGCAGACGCGTGATGGTTAGAGGCAAATACGTCCCCCCAACATTGACCTTCAGATGACGGTCACGTCCACAGGCGACGATGATGTTTCCTTCAAAGTTTGATGATACGATAACCGACCATTCGATTTATGCAATATTCAATAATTCATCGTGGACACAGAGATATATTTATTTTGTAATTCACCCCGGAAATTTTTGTGGAACACTAGCGGAGGAATCTACGTGGTTTGTACTAATGAAGACCCGACAATTGCCGATCGAGTATGTAGCAGCTGAACCGGACTATCCACGCAGATAGGTCGACTGTTACTCTCTGGAGGCGGCACAGGGGGAAGATGCGAAACTGAAAGTGAGATGAAGGTTTATAGATTACACAGATGAACCATGAGTGCTCTCGCGATCATGGATCTACCAACAGTTGAAGATTATCCTGGTGTCCCTGCCTTGAAGTATTCACTGAGACCGCTTTATGTGTTTCAAACGCCTTTGTCAATAGCATCAAACCCGATAACTGCATCCGCGTGATATATTCGCCAAATGGTGGGGTCTCCCGTTAATCCACCCTTACTCGCATTGACATGGACATTTTAGAGTACTAAAAATTCCAGAGGCGGCAGATATCATGTTTTGAAGGAAGGATGGAAGGAAAAGCCGAGAATTTCTAGAGGCAATGCACTTAGATGAGGCATGCATCAACCGGCACATCGATCTGGATGCCACATCCAGGCAGATTCAACCTGACTGAACAAATCCCAATCATAGGATCCTTGGCCAGACTCGGTTTAGAAGATATTTGTTTTTGCACGCCCGTTGACTGAAGAGGAGCTGGGGAACCAGTCTCGAAAATTTACACATTACAGTATACTGTTTCCCAAAGAATTGTATCTTCCCAATTAAATCTCTTTGAATGCCTGCCTTTCAGTTCGGTATCTGTGTGGAATGTCCGAATTGCCGTATTTAGAGATACCAATAAATACACACACATGCGGGAAGACGACTGGAAAATTTACTCTGTGCAACTGCCAGGATCAAGTCATCTGCACGCAAACCGTGGCTTGTAGATACAGAACTCAATACCGAAAAGTAAAATATAAAAGCGATAACCAGCTCTTAGCTCCACCAAGAATGTAACACTCTAATAATCATCACTACACGGTGAGTTAAACCATATGAAGGTTATCCTCTGATGTATAACACGCATTTGGCAGCCATATTCCCACCCATATCCCTCTTCTTCCTCATCCCTTGTTTCCCCTCATCCACTTCCCTTCATTTCCTCACCGCCATTTACACCTCCCCCTCCTTCCCACATTCACTTAAGATGTCTCACGTTAAGGGAAACATAGGTGACACAGATTATCTAGGGCTACTTACAACAAAACAAAGCCTTGACACATAATGTATCTCAATTGCTCTCTGGGACTCCTCAGAAGCTATAATCAGCGATATCAATAACTATTCAGTAGAGGGAAGGTGGCTGGAAAATGTGCCCTAGATAACTATTGGCATCACGTCATCTGTTCTTAGACGGTGGCTCGTAGATACGAAGTGTCGATCGAAAAGGAAACAACGACGAGCCCCGTGCTCCCACTCTCCGAGATACCAAACAGGCCCCTAGGTTGAGTTCACTTAATGTAAGGTGATTCCAAAATAACAGCACAGGTACTAGCTAAAAGCCCATAGATGCCATGACCGACAACGTAAACACCCTCTCCATCAATCTGCCCCCATTTACGCCGAGAAACCCCAGCGTATGGATTCAGCAAATTGAGGCTGTTTTCTCGAAAAATCCTATTACCAATGAACGCACCCGATATTCATACGTGGTGCAGAGTCTTCCAATCGATGTCGCCGTTGATTTTGAGCGCCTCGTCAACCCGATTCCTGCGATGAACCTTACACTCGGTTAAAGAACGCTGTGGTCCAGCGTGTGGCTAAATTAGAAAATAGGATGCTGCGGGACGTGTTTACGCAAGTGGAACTCGGTGACCAAACACCGGGCGGTGGAGTGCACCCAAGATAGGCTGGCTTATCTCATCCACTTCCCTTGATCTCCGATCTTTCTTACTCAGTCTTGACGCTGGGCACAGGCGGGGGAAGAGTAGAGAGTGTGGTCGATGCAGCGCAAGTCTGCTGTCGCAATAATCCTGCGAAAGTCACTGCCCCAGCCGCCACAAGCACCTGCTGTGGGGCATACGGTAGACATCGTCGTATGCGACGGTCGAACTGCCCTGGAGGTGTTTGTGTGTGTGTTTTTTTATGTATTTACTCTACTATTTAGTTCCCCCGTCACCACCCCCAAATGTCCCAGGCTAATTCGTGTTGTTGTCTCATAAACACAAATCAATGGCCTAAAGATGTGTTCGGCAGCCGTCTGGGATAACCGGGCAGCCCTATTTAGGGGGTGCGCTGCCCGTCCCGCGAGCGGAAAAAGGGGCTAGAAAAGGTACCCTAAAATCACTGGGAGCCACGCTGTCTGTAGGCTGACCGTGGCCGCATACCAGAAACACAATGTCGAATAAGCCAAAACCGAATTTTCATTCATCTCATTCACTGCCGCCAGACTGGTACGGTGAGTCCGCTTACTCTGACAGCCTGGTATGTTCGTTCCCTTTTAGACAATCCGAGGTGCAACCGACCGGAACGGAGGACGGCGCTAGTGGCACGAAAACTGGCGCGCTACAAGGTGGACATCGCCGCACTCAGCGAGAGTCGATTCTCCGAACAAAGCTAACTGGAGGAGGAGGGTGCCGGCTACACCTTCTACTGGAGTGGTCGCCCCAGGCCAGAACGACGCGACGCGGCTGTCGCCTTCGCCATCCGGAACGACATCGTGGGACGACTGCTCTGTTTGCCACAGGGCATTAACGACCGCCTGATGAGCCCTGTCCTCCTTTCCGGCTAGGCATATTCGCCACCATCGTCAGTACCAACGCTCCGCCGATGACCAGCCCCGAGGCCGCAAGAGTCAAGTTCTACGAGGGTCTGCACGCCTTCCTGGCGACTGTGTCAAAGGCGGACAATTTGATTGCCCTTGGTGACTTCAACGCCCGCGTCGGCACAGAACATGCTGCCTAGAGCGAATTGCTGGGTCCTCATGGTCTCCGAGGAGCAAACAACAATGGTCTGCTGCTCCTCCGCCCCTGGGCAGAACACCGCCTCATCTGGACGAACACGTTCTTCTGTCTGCCGGAGCGAGTGAAGGCCACCTTGGGGCATCCTAGGTCGCGTCAGTGGCACCTGCCGGACTATGTCCTCAACCGGAGGCGAGAGCAGCGGGACGTGCCGGTGACAAAGGCTAACGCGGGCGCTGACGGGTGGACCGACCATCGCCTCGTCATCTTGAAGATGCGTATTCGCTTACAGCCTCGCAGGAGGTACAAGGTAAGCGACCTCCAGGTAAGCTGAATATTGCTCACCTGCCACCTCCCACGCAAGAGGAAATTGTGCGCATCGACTCGGTCCCCGTGCGGTTCCTGCTGAACGGGTGTCTCGAGACTGAGACTATCACGGCGCGTCAAGCGTCGCGGCTTAGATGGCTGCTGACTGACGCTCCAACTCCACGCAGTTTGCCCAGTTATGTGTGTTTGTGTGGAATAGCGTTCTGGTGGGCTGCGAGAGGGACTAAACCAGCACCTTTCATGCACTCTCACACAAGTGAGAAATACGCCACTCAACCCCCCTTGTATAAAATCCTGTTGTTTGTGTTTTGGGGCAAGGTCGTGCATGTGGCGCGCGCAAGCACGGTCGCTTGGCCATGTCAGCCATCGCACCTATTCCCCGCTGCAGTCAGCTGACCGGCTCGGAGAAGAGCTGTGGCATGGGAATGGGAAGGTAGTGTGAGGTCGACGACTCAGCGCATTTTCGTCCTTACTATGAACAATTTGACGCGCATGAAGCTATCACGGTGCGCTTACAGCCGTGGTTTGGAAGGTTGCCTACTGACAGGATAACATGGACATCGCAGTCGGCAGAGTGTTGTGTGTGCTGCAATTGTGAAGTGCTCGGCTGGTGGTCTGAGAGGCCGGCTGTAATGGCTCTTTCTCAATATGGGCATTATGGCACTCCCGAGTCGGGTGTGGGCGGCACGCCTAGGTGCGGCCTTGGCCCTGCCAGTCTCCACTCTTTTTGTCGTTGTTGGTCAAAAACCTTGTAATTTGTTGTGTGGATCAGGTGGCGTGATGGAACGCCAAGGTGCGGATTCGACCGTGCCATCCACTTGCGTCCCTCCCGTCTCCGATCTTCTTGACTCTGTCTTGACACCGGGCTCAGGTGGGTGAGCAGGGGAGGGTGTGGTAGATGCAGCGCAAGTCTACTCTCGCAATAATCCTGAGCCAGTCACCGTCCCCGCTCCCACTCTGCTGTGGGGCATACGGTGGACGTCGTCGGACGCGACGGTCGAAATCTCACGTATGTGTGTGTGTGCGTGTTCTGCACACGTCTTCCCAGCACTGTGAGTCACCCCTATCAGTCTTTGCATCAGTTAAGTGACCGGCTCGGACAGTCGAATTGTGCACTGAATAATGTGTAGTAATTGAAGTCGACGCTCAACGCCTAATTCATCCTAATAAAAGGTCACCCGCGTATCATACTATTATGGTGCGCTAAAAAAAACTTTGGCTTGAAAGGGTACCAAATGGTGCTTCAACTCTGACCAAGCAGTCAGTCCAGCCGTTTTTTTGCGTCAGGCAGATTTCGAACGGCATCAAAATTTCAGTGGATTACCATTAAAAGCATTTGAAGAAACGGACGTTTAGATATTACCCCGGTCAGTCAGTGGGTTGCAGCCCAATCTATGATTAGCGAGATGGCACTATCTGCGTGAGAAAGCTGCACGGCTGCATATGCCGCCTGAGGGTGCCTGACGCACATGCCTGTGGCGTGCAGGCCGGCAGACCAGGCGAGATAAAATCGATCGATCGCTCGCTTAACGCGCCGCGCAACATCGCTCGCAGTGCTCGCATGTGGCTTTCGGAAGATGGTCGAACACTTAATGCCATTAGAACCGCACCTGGACTGCCTCTAGCGAATGTCGTCAAACTGAGCCGATTGCGGCGGTGTGCGCTATCGACGCGCGTGTGCGTCATCGAATGCCTTCACGCCGCCAACTGCTCGGGAGCAATAACAAAGTTGGCCTAACTTGGCTGCGTATCATATTAGTTTTGTACACTGATTTTGTGTGCAGTTAACTGTGTTAAACCAAGTTAAATATCTCTGCCCATTCTAAGTACTTTTTCCGTCTATCACACTTTACGCAACTAAATCTGGCTTACAAAAACGCATTAAATTTGTCCTCTCACGTAGTTCGCATTTCAAACCAAACTTGCCATAATTCCTCTACGAAATTCAACTGAAATTCCATAACAACACTTGCAAATGCTTTTGCGTTTCCAATAACAATTATGGAGCAGCTGACTCTTCGGCCTCTCCGTTCTTACTGGCCATGGCGATTTGGCCGTTATTTGCTGGTGGTAATGGCGGATTGCTGACCACGGTCGTCGAGTATGTGATTGATCCTCACCATATACGCCACGTTAAACCTTCTACCTTTTTGTCAACAGGTCTCCAATACGATTGAAACGCAGGTGGTCTGAGCTAAATCTACATTCTCAAGTCACAACATGATAACATCATTCCTTCCTAGGACGAAAGCGGTTTAATACAGTAATTGCATATCTCAATACTTTGTAGTAGCAAGCCGTTTTATCCCTTTTTTACAATAATACAGTTGATATGAGAGAAACTGTCAATCCTAGTGCGAATAAGAACAACTGCTTTGTGTATGTAGATCTCTGTACATTTTTGATTTCTTATTGGAAACTTTCTTGTACACCTGAACTCGTCTGCACAGTTGTTTAAATAACCGAAAATACACAGAGGTTTCGACCTGAGCTACTGCGTGCCTTGTGCCTGACTGCTGCCTGGTGTCAATGCTTCATTCATTTCGATCGCGGGCCCTAATACGTTTTAGTGAATTCCCTCGTGAAATTGTTATTTCTCGGTCATATCTCATAGGACGTGAATTCATCCGACCAACAAGTTTCGGTAACTGACTTCAGTTCGGAACATTATGGACTCTACCCGGAGCATCGACTCTACGACGATTTATATTGGAGGAGGCATCGTTTTCGTGAGTCTGTAAAGTTATTTACGTTTGCCATTTCCCCATTGTTTTACGATCATTTCGTCTGTAAAAACACAGCATTCCCCACTTAGAGTTAAGTTTTTGCAGTATCTATTTTCCTTTGTAGTTTTAATAGCCGCTTACACTACAAACATGTTAAACCCGTTTTTGCCCATTTTGACACACTTATATTTGCCATGACCGACAACGTAAACACCCTCTCCTTAAAACTGCCCCCATTTACGCCGAGCAACCCCCACGTATGGTTTCGGCAAATTGAGGCTGTTTACTCGACAAACCGTATCATCAGTGAACGCACCCAGTATTTATACGTGGTGCGGAGTCTTCCATTCAATGTCGCCGTTGATGTTGAGGACCTCGTCAACCCGATTCCTGCCGATGAGCCTTACACTCAGTTAAAGTACGCTGTGAGCCAGCATGTGCCCAAATCGGAAAACAGGATGTTGTATGAACATTTTACGCATGTGAAACTCGGTGACCAAACACCTGGCTGTGGAGTGCACTCAAGATAGGCTGGCTCATCTCATCCACTTCCTTTGATCTCCGATCTTTTTTTCTCTGTCTTGACACTGGGCACAGGCGGGGGAAGAATAGAGAGCGTGGTCGATGCAGCGCAAGTCTACCCTCGCAGCCCCAGCCACCACAAGCACCTGGTGTGGGGCATACGGTAGACATCGTCGTATGCGACGGTCAAACTGCCGTGGATGTGTTTGTGTGTGTGTGTGTGTGTGTGTTTGTGTGTGTGGGGTGTAGGTGTGTCAGCGGTGGGTCCACGTGATGGTCGTAGTGGTCGCTCACTTGCTTTCAGGTGAGACTACGCCTAGCGTCCATTTGCTGGCACCTAACTCTCACCTGTGGCTCCACGTAGCTGGTTTCTGCTCAGCGGCCACGCCCCGGGCAACCGTCTCGACCGGCGGGCTAAACCAGGTGAGGGTATCCGTGCGTGCACCTGCACGCGCGGTACTGTGGTCTGCGCTGGCCGGATGGATCTTCGCGTCGACATCGTCGAGACGAGGCTCTGCCTGGACCATCGCAGGAGGCCACCAGGTAAGTTTCCCCTCAGGTAAGTGCGCTTGCTTTGTCTCTTCCTTTTGTTTGTTGAAGTTCCGCGTCGTACGCTGCGCTTGCTGCCTGCCCTTTATATGCTAGTCTGTCTGTTAATATCTAAACGACACCCTCGATGCCTGCTGCGATTGTCTGTCCGTCAGTCTATGCCACTCTCTACTAATAGCTAGGTGTTACGGTGCTTGACTTTGTGTGGTGCCCTCACTTTGTCTCTGACTGATGACTGTGTCTGCTTGTCCACTCTAGTTCTAAGTCCCCTAGCGTTAGTTAGTGTGTATGCTCTCTCCTACTTCACTCCATCACATCATCACCTCACCACCAAGGTCCCAGGCTAATTCGGGTTGTTCTCTCACTAACAAAAAGTCGTGGCCCATAGTGGAGTCCGGCAGCCGTCTGGGATAACCGGGCAGCCCTGTTTAGGGATGCGTTGCCTGCCCCCGCGAGGGGGAGGGGGCTAGAAAAGGTGCCCTAAAGATCGCTGGGAACCTTAAGCAGTTATTTTATGAAGCACGTCTGTAGTGAAGTTAACGTTTACCAACCAATAGAATGTTGAAACGAAAATTGCCTAACGAAGGCCAATTGTGAAGGTAATCCGCAGACCAATTGATAACTGGGACACCTACGGGTTCAAGGTGAAAGTTCTAGAATTCCCAGAGCTTTTCACTATCTGATATATTGTGTCTGATCTGTGTGCGCATAGCACAGGGTTGGTTGGTTTTTTCTAACGCAAACAGCCGCGTTATTCATGTCAACCCTGTACGGGGGCAGTAATAATTGCCATAGAGGTCGACCGACTACTTACCTGTTTTAGTTAATAACTGCCGAATCAGGGGGGAAATCTTGGCCGTCGAGCATTACTGTTTCTTAA